GTAAGGTGAGAAAAATTTGGAAATACATTTTATAGAGTGATGAAGGTGTTCTGTCGCCTCCAGAAACCTTCAGGATCCGCAAGACTTTGACATGTCCACTTACGAAATCTGTAGTTCTTACGAGACTATAACGATACTTTGGCGAGGAGCGCGTCACACTGCTCCTCAGGACTTCGAGGAGGAGGTCGCACTGCTCGGCAAGACTTGGAGGTCTCACTTGGTAAGACTTGGAGATCTCCTTACCTTGTCACACTGCTCAGCAAGTCTTGGAGGTGGCGTCACACTTCTTGGTAAGTCTTGGAGGTGGCGTCTCACTGCCCTTCTCCCTACCATCGGCGCCCCTCGGCGTTAGTATCTTATACTGGTGAAGGACGTGCTGGAGGAGTATACTCACCAACAACAAGGAGAGTGGTGTTGGCCGAGTGAGCCCCGGCGGAGTTGGATGCTTCACAGACGTATATGCCCTGATCACTGGTGCTGACGGAGCTGATGGTGAGGCTCCAGTCGCGACCCACTGACGCCCTGCCCACCGGCATCAGCCCGTCAGCCCGACGCCACAGTACCTGAGGGAGAGGAGAGAGAGGTGAATGTGCTGGAAGCCGGAGAGGTTATACTCAGCAGGGAGATGCGACAGAGGCATCCATGAGGCGTGGTTGGACTGTGAGAGAACTACGTCAGCATTCCTCCGTAAGCGTGAGCGAATCGAACCAGAAATTTACACACAGATCGTAACCTTGCCACACAGGTCGTACATAGTTCGTGACCCTGCCACACAGGTCGTGACCCTGCCGGCCACTGGCACCCGTGGCATAAGTGCCACGGGTGATGTCAGTCTTCTGATTGGCTGGTTGGAATTTGTAACGAGGATTCATGGCCACAGCCGCCTTGACACGAGACTGCAAGGGTCAATTGGGTGGGTGAACTCTGGCTAGGATGTAAAATTAGTTCAGATAAATTTAGCCCACGTGACTGTCTGTGGTGGTCTGTGGGTGACTGTCTGTGGTGGTCTGTGGGTGACTGTCTGTGGTGGTCTGTGGGTGACTGTCTGTGGTGGTCTGTGGGTGACTGTCTGTGGTGGTCTGTGGGTGACTGTCTGTGGTGGTCTGTGGGTGACTGTCTGTGGTGGTCTGTGGGTGACTGTCTGTGGTGGTCTGTGGGTGACTGTCTGTGGTGGTCTGTGGGTGACTGTCTGTGGTGGTCTGTGGGTGACTGTCTGTGGTGGTCTGTGGGTGACTGTCTGTGGTGGTCTGTGGGTGACTGTCTGTGGTGGTCTGTGGGTGACTATCTGTGGTGGTCTGTGGGTGACTATCTATAGTGGTCTGAAAGTTACTATCTGCTGGGATATGGGAGTGCCTGTCTTTGGAAGTATTGATGTGACTGTCTGTGGAAGTCTAGGAGTGACTGTCTGTGGGAATCTAAGAGCAGCTGTCTGTGGGAGTCTAGAAGCGACTGTCTAAGACCTGTCTTAGAAGAGGCTGTCTGTGTTGTTCTCAAGTCTCTGTCAATGCGGGTCATTTAACAACTGTCTCCGAAGTTATGGAAGCGACTGTTGCTGGGAGTCTGTGACTGACACCTCTCCAAGGTGTCATTCACAGTCGAAAGCGCTTAGCCAGAATGACTATATAGCACTTGAAAGAGATATGAGGACAAGGGGATGAAGGAATGGTGCCTAACCACTTGAACTTCTGGGAGTCGAACGCTGACCTGCATGAAGCGAGGTCGTCGTTGTGCAGGCCAGTTCAAGTGGGTGGAATTCACAAGTCTCTACTTAATATCCCATTTATGTTTTATAATTGGGTACCATTTAGCATTCTATTCCAGAGAGCGTCCATAGCTGCCCCCTATTCAGCACAGTATGTTGCAATGAGTATTGGTTTTCGTGAGGTTGTGGCGAGTAATGGATGAATAAGCGTAAAATGAACGTTAAGTACTCATCACCCCCCTCTGTTTACATAGGGGTGGGGGGAGAGGGGTGATGAGTAATTCATGAAGTGAACCTTGAGTGAATGCCTATTTCCATGAGGTGATTTGATGATTCGTTAAAGCTTTTATGATGTCAAATCTCCAGAAATAAATGGGTGAAGTTAAATCAATGCTAAAACATTATAAGGAAAGAAAATGAATAAATTTTACAGTAATTTTATATATATATATATATATATATATATATATATATATATATATATATATATATATATATATATATATCTTGCTTACCTGTGTGTCCTACTTGTCTACCTTGGTTATGTATCCAATGTATCTACCTGCCATCCTGTCTACCTGGGTATCCTGCCTTCCTCTCTACCTGACTAACATGCCTCCTGGTCTAACCTGTTTTTTGCATCTACCTGCCTTTCTGTCTGAACTGTTTATGTATCTACCTGCCTTCTTATCTACCTGTCTGTTATAGTGCTAGTCTCAAATTATAGACAGAATAATGAGCTTGACATTTCGCTTCATCGCTGCTCGTGCAACACCGAACATGAAACAGCTTAAAAAATTGATTCAGGTTTCTGACAACAGAAATCTATAAACTTGGTTCGATTCCCCATTCGCCTGATGACGCTTAGGACTCAAAACCAGGAATATAAATGTCGTCAAAAAGTTGTTTAGAACTGACGGGTGTGTGGCAAGGAACACACACACACACACACATCTGCAACACGCCCAGATCAAAACAGATTACAAGGGGGGGGGGGAGGAAGTGACGTACATACCTGACTCAGAACAGATCATTAAAGACAGATTTTTTTGTAACATTGTTTTTTTTCGTAACAATTTCACTTTCGTACAGTGTCATTTTTGTTGTTGTATTCTGACGCTGATTTACGACAGTCAAAAGCTGTTAATTACCATGCAAAAGTTAACTTTAGTTTTTAAGCGAAACAATATTATGTATCCTACTAAATATCCAACCATTAGTATTCTCGTCAAGAAACAGCTTTTAAGCACATTGATATAATTCGCTTAAGTTCAATTCTGAAAAGATCATCGCAGTTACATTTACTTGTATTGTGTGGATGAGCTTGGTTGGCTAGTGCCCGGATGGGTGACGGGACGGATGAAACATGGATGACGGAGCCGAAAGGATGACGAGATTAATGAAACATGGATGACGGAATGATAAACTTTATTTAAAAAGGTCAGTCAGTCAGGCAGAACAAACTCCCACTAATGATTGAAGCGGGACGAGCCTTGGGAAGATGCAGGTGTATTGTAGGGTGTTGCAGGTGTATTGTAGGGTGTTGCAGGTGTATTGTAGGGTGTTGCTGGTGTATTGTAGGGTGTTGCTGGTGTATTGTAGGGTGTTGCTGGTGTATTGTAGGGTGTTGCAGATGTATTAGAGGACAAAGCTGATGAATTCTATTTATCCAGCAGGTCATACCCAACTGGCCTGCCCTCTGGTACCTGCACCGAGTCTACTTCTAATCTACCAATGCCCTTTTCTACCTCTGAGCAACCCGGAACCAATCCAAAAACCTGCATATGACCCGTGTCAATTTTCTCATTAGAGCTGGCCTAACCTAACCTAACCTAACCTAACCTAACTTAACCTAACCTAACCTAACCTAACTTAACTTAACCTAACCTAACCTTACCTGTGGTTCTGGAGTACCAGTTGGGGAGCAGGGGAGGGTTACGGGGTGACCTGCCACCCCTACCATGCTCTTGACCACGCCGCCCACACGCGCCGACTCTGGGGGGTCAAGGGTCACGGTCGGCATTAATATGGTTGAAAACAGAGGGGGGGGGGGGAGAATTGTAGGGTAATAAATGATATTTGGGTGAAATGGGGATCTTTCAGAGTGACTAATGGTGGGGGAGATTGTTGGGAGGTGGTAATTTAATAGGTATGTGAGGATTGGGGATTAGTTTATATTCTTACATATATATGCACCCCCCCCCCACACACACACACAAACTCCACCATCTTGGATATTTTACCAAAGACAGTAAGAAGAGCCGGCTTGGAGGTCCTCTGGCCAGCCATATTGGTCACCACACACTGGTACTCTCCCTCGTCCGATGGTATGACGTGAGATACCACCAGCGTCGGGCCCTCCTGTCGGTACCTGGGGAGCAGATACCAAGGTCATGTCACTCTCCTCTCATACTTTCTATGTTAAAATTAACATTATGAGTTAATAGGTTTCTTCAGTATAAGGGGTCGATCAGGCTCGTATAGGTGACCTGGACTGACCTGTGTCTGGGGAGGACGAGTGCCTGTCTATCGAGCCTCCAGGTGACCACAGGTGTAGGGTGGCCCTTGGGAGGGTCACACTCGAACACCGCCGTCTCCCCTTCCTTCACTCCGAGGCTTGAGGGCGACCTGCGGAAAGTCTCCCTCAAGACTGTCAAGGAAGAGTGAGTGATTAGACCCGGCTGACACTTTATTATTATTATTATTAATATTATTTTTATGTGTATTATTATTTGTATTATTATTAGTATTATTATTGCGAAAGTTGCTGTTGTCATTATAATTAATACAATTATTATCATGAAAATTATCGTTGTCATAAAATCATACATAATACATGTATGATTTCCCATTCCTTAAAAGACAAATAATTAAAAAAATATATTATTTCAGTAAAATTCAGCTTGTTACGCAACTCTGGCTATTAGGTATGACAAAAACAAATCTCTAACTTAGCAATTAAAGCAACTAGAGAAACGAATCAAATTTTATCAGAAAGATTAAGTAATGCATCGTCTGTCTAATGTCTATGTAATAACTTGTAATTTAATTCAATGCCACCGCGTCACATTTTAAAAGACTGAAACGAAATAACATGGGGGCCAGATTCACGAAAGCACTTACGCAAACACTTACGAACGTGTACATCTTTCCTCAATCTTTGACGGCTTTGGTTACATTTATTAAACAGTTTACAAGCATGAAAACTTCCCATTCAACTGTTGTTATTGTTATAAACAACCTCCTGGTGCTTCGGAGCTCATTAACTGTTTAATAAGTGGAAACAAAGCCGCCAAAGATTGAGAAAAGATGTACAGGTTCGTAAATGCTTGCGTAAGTGCTTTCGTGAATCTGGCCCATGAACAGTAAAGAGTGCAGTGAAACAATTTGGTCGCAAGGGGGGTGGGGGTCCAATTGGGGTGGGGGTTCCATTGGGGTGGGGGTTCCATTGGGGTGGGTGGGGGAGAGAGTTTTCCCACCAGGCGAGCAATTAATTAAAGCACGTGAGAATCAATCCCAGAACAAACTCAATACTGGATATATTGACACAATCTCATAAGCACAGCAACGCACCTTTATTAATTAACGTAAAACGTGAGCACGAGTCTTACTTCAGCGTGAACAGTAAATGTGTTCGCAATCAAACTTACTGGCGTCCCCCCTCTAGGCCAGTCCCGGCAGCTGCCACAGAGAACGGAGTATGGAGCATACACAACATAGTTCGACAAAGTTTCTTTACCGATTGTCAAAACCTTAAAAACATATATATATATCGTTGGGATAAGATGCATTAGCTTAATTTAGACTGTATTAGGAACGACTGGGTGAAGTTAAAGTTGAGTTGGGTAAGGTTGGGCCGGTTCTAAAATCCGTCGTCGGATGTGACTTGTATTCCAGTCAACAGGTCTTACGGGCATTCACTCCTGGTCGAGGGTCGTCGTCGCGTGGGCCGCTTCCTTCCACAGGATTACTGGCCTAGAACACTTGCCGTGGCCTCCCACGCTAAGATTACAGTACCCCACACAGGAACTCTCTGCAGCTAGCTATCCCTAGGCATATGGGCCAACGCACCACGGCCAACGACCTTGTTCACAACAGCCCACTATAATTATCTCGCGAGTTTGCTGTAACGCGTGATGACCCTTGACCTCTTGGGAAGTCCTTAATCTACACACACACACCACGTCTCTGACTGTTTACACACGTAAGTATTCAATAATGATTTATATTAGTTAATATGGTTTTTAATGGTTAATAATGGTCAATAATGATTTATAATGGTTCCTGATGATTTATAACACGTCCTAACGATATATAATGCTCCATATAATGATTGCTATGTAGTAAGGAAGAAATTATAAGTTAAACTGATCAGGCGGGTAAATTAGCAGAACTAAATTACAAGCATTTCCCTCCCGGTTACACCAAGCACGAACAAGCGAGTCCCAATTTGGCTTGATTAGTTGTTTATTTTATTAAACGTTCATTTAACAAGTTGGTGAGAGCCTAAACGTTATTTCGTACAGTGTGAGATATTTGCTTTTTATTTTTCAGAGGCGATTATAACACCCTGATTGACCTGACGACCAACCGGGCCCCGAGGACAATGATTCAAGGAAGGCACCCCCACACTGCGAGCTGAACAGTGAGTACCTAATGACTGATGTTTGAAACACTCCCATGTTTATTTTTGTTCTGTACTGCAGAGGCACAGCAATATGTTAAGTTTGTGATGAAGCAGACATGGAGTGTACTTTTAAAAATGTTTTGCGCCCGTATTTACCCCGGGAAATTTAAGTAATATTTCATAAAGCTTGCGTCCTAACGACTTTGGGATGTGGTCAAGGTTACCGCAGGAGCAAGGGGGAGACACTTTCTTAACTCGTATAAGGGAAAAAACTTTAAATATAAAACCCCAAGTTTCTGTATGGAGGCACACGTTAACAGGGTAACATCAGCGGCGTATATAAAGTAGGAGGACATTTGTGGAACTTTCAAACCAGCTTCTAAGGCAGCGTTTTTCAAAGACTGTGAGGCAGGAGCCTAGCCTGCCGGGAAGGGTCCACAGCTACTGTTCATTGCAAGTTTGAAGAAAGGTAAAACATGAATGTTCATAATAAATATGAACATTACTTCTAAAAAGCAGTCTTTTTGAAATTAATGTTCAATATTTGTTTTAAATACAGTATATATAAAGTCTCTCGTAAAAAAAATGATACTGTACCTTAGGAATTTTAGCATCTTGTTAAGTGTGACGAGAAGGGAGGGGGAGGGGTAACTACCAGGAAAAGGCGCCAAGCCATTACGACTATATAGCACATGGAAGGGGTCAGAACCGGGGTGGGTGGAGGTGGAGGGGGGGGTGGGGGGAAGGATTTGGGACGGAGGGGAAAGGAATGGTGCCCAACCACTTGGACGGTCGAGGATTGAACGTCGACCTGCATGAAGCGAGATCGTCGCTCTACCGTCCAGCCCAACGGTAAGGTTGGGCAAGAGTTGAAAAAAAAAAGGTTGAAAATCTCTGTTCAAGGGGCGTTGTACACTAACTACGGGTTACAAGTACTTAAATATGGAACCCATGTGAGGAATCCTAACCTAAAATTACACAAAACAACTGAAAATTGCAACAGTTTGCACCACGACTGAATCCTGGAGTTGGAAGGCAGAAGAACGAGGATACGCTGAGGAACTTGACCTCACCACGTTGGAAAAAGTAGAGTAAAAGGCAAAATGATAACGAAAGAATATTCTTGAAGGCCTGCACAAAGTGGAACAAAATGAAATATGTAACATAAACAGAACGAGAGGTAATGTGATGGAAAAAAAAATCAGATGAACCAGAGAGATGTAAGGAAGCACTTTTTCAGTGCAAGAGAAATGTATGTCTAGTGGGCAAATGGAATGAGCTGAAAAGGAAGGCTAACGAGCCTAATTCCATTCATAGCTTCACGAGTTGGTATGATTAGAAGAAGCAAAGGGGATCAGGGGACATATAGGTGAGTACGCAAACACAATCACGCTCGCTCCATCACTTCTAATATAGACTCACTACTACCCATCAGTCTTGGGAATACTTTCATGCGGAGAGAGAGACAGAGAGACAGAGAAACAGAGAGACAGAGAGACAGAGAGAGAGAGACAGAGAGACAGAGAGAGAGAGACAGAGAGACAGAGAGAGAGGGACAGAGAAGAGACGACAGGGACTTCCATTCGCTTTAAGATTTTATCCTTGAGGCGATAATATAGTGTGTGTGGAGAAGACGGGGCTGAGTGTAGAGGTGCTTCAGTGAGGGAGGTGTGGGGGCCTGGTGCTGACGGCTGGTGTGAGTGCTGACACTCTTGGTCATCTGGAGGTGTGAGTGCGGGTGCTGACGGCTGGTGTGAGTGCTGACTACTCTTGGTCATCTGGAGGTGTGAGTGCGGGTGCTGACGGCTGGTGTGAGTGCTGACTACTCTTGGTCATCTGGAGGTGTGAGTGCGGGTGCTGACGGCTGGTGTGAGTGCTGACGGCTGGTGTGAGTGCTGACAACTCTTGCTCATCTGGTGGTGGGTTAGTGGCGGGCTCTGTGGACCTTCTCTCTGGTTAAAATATTCAACCAGTCTTGAGTTACATCACTGGGATGACAACCAGGCTCATTTTTGCCCACTCCAACATTTTGTATTTAATTTATTTTCGACCGCAGACGTGGCCATTCATTTACAATGCTAAACAGCACATATATTTTTTTCTTTTGTCTTGTAGAGACAGGGGTTAGAGACCTGTTAAGACATCACATAGTGTAGAGGGTTACTGAACACTCGACCAGATAAGGTGATTGTAATGTCTTTATAATGCTAACCAGCATATATATATATATATATATATATATATATATATATATATATATATATATATATATATATACAATACACATATTTACGTCTCTCCAACATAGACAGGGTTTGTGTTCTCTTACATATAGTGCAGCTGGTTATTGAGTACTCACCATACAAAGTATACCAGAGTCCGGTCCGGACTCTGGACCATATAGCATATTGTATATTGACACTATACAATATGCTACTGTTTCTTCTAACTACAAACGTACCAACCCAAGCAACCCACCTCACTGATCGAGATCGATGCATGTATAAAGCATTACGGAGCTTTTAGTTTGACTAATTCGTCGCATTTTCTTAACCGATTGGTCTGTTCCGCTAATATTCGACGTATTAGGTGAGAGGACAGGTTGCTGGAGGAGGGTGTAGATGCGCGAGGCGTCTTAGATTATGAAAAAGTCTCCACCAGCCGCTGTCTGTGATTTATAACTTTCTCTCACTTTCTTTTCCCAATATTTTTCTTTTCTTTTTTTTATTCCTAGAACCATTTGCCATCTCTGATTCCCTCATAACACTGGAAGATGCTGTTTGATTGGCCAGCATCTTCTTCCAGAAGCTCACTGTGATTCGCAGACGTGATCGTGGAAACTGGAACGTGATTGGACGATGAAATTCCCGCTCGCCACTCCCTAAAAAAAATAAAACCCACACTAATTGTTCTCCCTAGACGCTCGGTATACAAGAAGTAGAGGATCGTCAGGCTGGTGATCCTGATCAGCTGCTCATTCCGACACAGGGACGAGAGTTGGAGCGTGATGTGCTGCCGCTGGG